TTAAAAGATTGCATAATATTCTCATAACCATATCTTGTGGATATCCTATTAATATCAATGTATTAGATTTATACTGCACTGAAACAGCTAAACGTATAGTGAGTTTATACAACTGGTATGTTATGCCTCCTACTGTACATAAACTGCTACTGCATAGTTCTTCTATATCAAATAAATTACCTTTGCCAATCAGGGTATATTTGGAAGATGCACTAGAGAGTTTAAATAAACAAATAAGAAATTCTCGACTTGAGCACACGGCAAAAATATCAAGGTTAAACACAATGATGAATCAGATGCACTACCTTCTAGTAAAATCAGATCCAAAAATATCAAGCATATCTTTTAGAAAACATAAGAACTATTGAGGAAAACCGTTACCAGATGAAGTTTTTAAATTAATTGTAATGTAAATAATAAATTTAATAAAAAAAAATACAATATTTTTTCTCTATGTATCAACATCCTTTAAAAACCATTTTTATAAAAATATCAAGTAGAGTAATATATCAAAATTATGTGTTTGTCTTGAAGATTCTAAAAGCTAAAAAAAAAAATTCTTGTATGCGTATTACCTTTAACATCCGTAAGCGCGCATTTTACGCGTCAAAGCTGCACGTTAAAAAAAAATTATTAACAAATTTGAAATCTTTGACTTAAAAATTATTATTTTAATATATAACATTATTTATTTACGATTTATGTCAATTTTTATTTAATTTTTGTCGTTTTTTGATTGCCCTGAGTCACTGTGCGATGTGTCCAAAATCATTTTTAATTTTTTGCAGAAAATTTTTTTGCCTGTTAAGTTACTGTTTTTTTGTACCACTTTATTTGGAAGTGGCACAAAAATTTATATTTATTGAAATGTATTGATTAGTTAACTAAAACCTTTATGTTTATTTATGTTTGTTTGTGTTCTGTTTATACTCTAATGCAGCGTGAGCTCAGTAACTAACTACTTACTCCAACTACAAAACCTACACTCACCTTAGACTCCTGTATTTTGTTAGATGCAGTGTTTTTCCTAATGCACTTCCAAAATGTCATGCCTGGTTTTCTCAAAATACTGTTGCGGGAAGTCTCTCCATTTAACTACTCCAGGTCAGGTCAGGATAATCGAGATCAATCTTGCTACTGGTATCACGTAACCCAGTACCACCTGCCACAAGCTCTGTTGCCTTGCAGAGTGTGCTCTTCTTATGCAAAGGCTAGGAGAAATAAACTCCGACTAAAAATTCCCCTGCCTTGGGGCTCTTGGTTGAGTAAAGGCTAGAGATGATGTCTCGATAAAAACACTCATCTTGGGCAGATATTAACTGCATCCAGCTAAACATCCCCTGCCTTAGGGCTCTTGGTTAAGTAAAGGCTAGAGATGGTGTCTCGATAAAAACACTCATCTTGGGCAGATATTAACTGCATCCAGCTAAACATCCCCTGCCTTGGGGCTCTTGGTTGAGTAAAGGCTAGAGATGGTGTCTCGATAAAAACACTCATCTTGGGTAGATGTTAACTGCGTCCAGCTAAACATCCCCTGCCTTGGGGCTCTTGGTTGAGTAAAGGCTAGAGATGGTGTCTCGATAAAAATACTCATCTTGGGCAGATGTTAACTGCATCCAGCTACTGTCTTGTAGAAGGCCTCCTAGGCAAAGACTTAAGGGGTAAGCAGAAAAATTCTGCTAACCAGCCTCGAACCCCTTCTTCATCTATTAGGCTGGCGTAGATGTAACCTGTGTTACATTGTTTCCTGCCTAGGATGATGAATGCTGGATCTCCTTGACTCTACTCATAGAATTTTGCTTATGCCTCCTTGATGATGGCTATGCACCTCTTCCTGTTATCTCCATATGAGGGTACAGCTCTAAAACTCAGTTTAATGGTTCTGAGGCCGGCTGGAAATAAGGTTTCCCGAACTCTGTGGTAGCTCTCAGAGAGGCTGATTCCATCAACAGCTGCAAAATATCAGAGTATTAACAGTGCCATGTTGCGCATGGATGGTGTCCCTGTTGGTGCTTAAGGGCTCCTTATGTGGCCTTGACAATGCTTTTGGTGTGCATTGTCAAGGCCACATAAGGAGCCCTATGTCATGGCTTAGGGTTAATTAACAGGACTGAGACAACTGCATAGCTCATTGATTAGGAGGCTGTGCTCTATCTATGAATGAGTCAAGTTCTTATTAAACCCAAATCATGACCAAAGTAACCAAAAATTTAAAACCTAAAAAACCATCCCCACCACCTAAATATTTTAATATATCTTTTACATATATTCGCGGTCTATGAAGCAACTTTCCATCAGTTGAGTTATACCTCCTACAAAACTCACTAGACTTACTTGCACTCAGTGAAACAAATTTAAGTTCTGCAATTCCTTCTTCAGATGTCAGTGTTGATGGGTACTATCCTTTGATTCGTAAAGACTCAAATATTCACATGCTAGGTTTAGGGGTATACATACGCATTAATTCCCTTATTTGTCGTGAAATCAGGTTTGAATCCTTTGACCATTCTTTTATGTGCTTTCGCCTAGCACCTCTTCACTCTATCACCTTTCTCTTTGTTCTTTATCGTTCTCCTTCTTCCCATGATTGCACTCTTTTAGATGTTATCTCTGATCAAATTGACCATGCCCTCTCTCTTTACCCCTCTGCCAATATTGTTGTTGTTGGTGACTTAAATGCCCATCACACTGAATGGCTTGGTTCTAACACCACTGATCCTGCTGGCACTAAAGCCTTTAACTTCTGCGTTTCTCAATCTTTTACTCAGATAGTTAACTTTGTGACTCGTTTTCCTGACAACCCTAATCATTTACCTTCACTCCTTGACTTATGTCTTGTCTCTGACCCTAGCTTATGTTCAGTTTCTCCCTTTTCTCCCTTAAGTGGTTCTGACCATGCAATGATCTCTATAAATCTTTCTTCTCGTACTTCTTTTTTGGGCTCACCTTATCATCGCACCACCTACTACTACCCTAAAGCTGACTGGGATTCCTTTCGTGATTTTTTTTGTGATGGTCCTTGGACTGATGTTTTTTCTCTCTCAGCTGACAAATGCGCCTCCTACGTAACCTCCTGGATTCAGGCTGGAATGGAAACTTTTATTCCTTCGCGTCGGTTTCAAGTCAAGCCTCATTCTACTCCATGGTTTTCTCCTTCTTGTGCGGCTGCTATATCCAATCGTAATCATTTTTTTCATCTTTTTCAAAAGAACAACTCTCTTGAGAACAAACGGCTATTTATTATTGCAAGAAATCGATGTAAAAAGGTGCTTTCTGATGCTAAACTCCATTATTCTCAGTTCACTAAATCTCGCATCTTATCGCAAAAGTTAGGCTCTAAAGACTTTTGGAAGATCTTCAACAGCATTATTAACAAGGGTAGGTCTAACATTCCATCTCTCATTCATGGGACTGATCTTATTATCTCTTCCAAGGATAAGACAGAACTATTTGCAAAGAACTTTTCTTCTAATTTCACTCTTGAATCTTATAGACATTCTCTTCCTTCCATTCCAGTCAAACAGGTTGACCCATTGTTAGACATTCAAATCACTCCGGCTTCTGTTGCTAAAGTCATATTTCAATTAAACTCGTCTACAGCTTGTGGTCCAGACAACATTCCTGTCACAGTCTTGCAGAATTGTTCTCCAGAACTTTCTTCAATTCTCTCTAAACTATTTAACAAGTGTTTGACTGAGTCTTGTTTTCCTGCTTGTTGGAAAATGGCATCTGTGGTTCCAATATTCAAAAATGTGGTTCCAATATTCAAAAAAGGTTGCTTCTCTTTATCGTGCTCGCCATTTCCTTACTTCTGATTCCATTCTCTACCTCTACAAATCTCTTATTTGTCCCTGTATGGACTACTGTTGTCATATTTGGGCTGGTTCTTCTAACGATTCACTTTCTCTTCTTGACAAGGTCCAAAAACGCATTGTAAATGTTGTTGGACCTGGACTATCTGCTAAGCTTGAACCTCTTTCCCATCGTCGTAAAGTTGCATCTCTTTCTCTTTTCTACAGATACTATCATGGTCACTGCTCAAAGGAGTTATCATCTCTAGTTCCATCAACTAAAATTCATTCTCGTTTTACTCGTCATTCAGCTAAGTCTCATTCGTTTACTGTATCTGTCCCTGCATGCTCTAAAAACTTTTATTCATCTAGTTTTTTTCCCCGCACTTCTATCCTTTGGAACTCTCTCCCATCTTCATGTTTTCCTGACTCATACAACCTTCAACTTTTCAAGTCTTCTGTCAACCGTTTTCTTGCTCTATAACTCTGTTCTTTTTTTTTCCTAGTAACTCCCAACTTTATAGTGGTTGCTTGCAGCCTTGTTGAGAGTGAATGCAAATAAAAAAAAAAAAAAAAAACCAGCTAAGCAGTGGCGTCACTGAGGTTAGTCTCATCCAGTGCGGTAAACTTTTGATGTCACCCCTCTAGACTAACAGGTGAAAGGTTTAACTAAAAAAAGTCCTAAAATTTTTAATTATTTTAAAATTTTAAAACTCTAGAGTTGTGTGATTAGTAATGGAGTTAGCAATCTCACATTTTCTTCTTTAACTTTTTTTTTGTGCAGTAATCAAATTATATATATATATATATATATATATATATATATATATATATATATATATATATATATATATATATATATATATATATATATATATATATATATATATATATATATATACATATATATACATATATATATACATATATATATACATATATATATATACATATATATATATATATATATATATATATATATATATATATATATATATAAATATGTATATATATATATATATATAGATATATATATATATATATATATATATATATATTATATAAAATTTTATTTAAATTTTGATAGATCACATTTAGATCTAAAAATAATATATATATATATATAATAAAATTATATATATATATATATATATATATATATATATATATATATATATATATATATATATATATAATATATATTTTTAGATCTAACTGTGATCTATCAAAATTTAAATGAAATTTTTAATGAATTAGAAGATTCGTCTTATGAAGCTTCACCTTTGAAACGCTTTTCAAAAAGTTACAATTCAAATCAAAATAACAGAGATATTATCGAACCAATTAGTGAGGGTAATGAGATTGAAAAAATTTCAAAAATTCCTCAAAATGGCGAACTCTTTGAAGAAGACATTATCATGGATGCAAGACTAAGAAATGCTGTAAATGACAAATTTTTAAGTAAAAAATCAGCTATTGTGTCCGAAGATATAAAGTGGGATAATGGTGTACTACCATATGTTATTGATGAATCACTCAGTAAGAATATGTTTTATGAAAAAATTAATTTAAATTTATTTTGTTTATTTGTTTTTTATTTATTTAATATATCTTTTATAATTGGGAGAGCCTAGTACAATCAAGTTTGACTATTATATATATATATATATATATATATATATATATATATATATATATATATATATATATATATATATATATATATATATATATATATATATATATGCACACACACAACCTCCTAATATTGTGTAGGTTAAAATATATTAATCTACACAAACAAGTCAACTACAGGAAGAAACCACTTTACCACTACCCTGGTTGGTAATGAAAAAACATTTGTTTTCTTTAACAAGAAATGTAAAAAATATTACATCGATGGGTTAATTCCAAAACATTGTATGTCTATTTTAGACAGTTGTGAGAAAAACTGTAAAACTTTTGTCGCTTTCTAAATTCTAAAAGTTTACTTGTATACAAATTCATATATTTAAAAACATAACAAGTTTTTAAATATTTAAAAATATTACACACAGAAATGTTGAAGCAATACAATAAAACAAAAATTATGTCTTTAAATATTTGAATTTCTATACGAGTTTAAACTTTTAAAATTGTTTTTTCTCGGAACTGTCTAAAATGGACATACAATGTTTTATAATTAACCAATCAATATATAGTTTGACAGTGGTGTTTCCAATTGGAATCAGCTGTCTTAGAATCAGCTGGTCAACTGCAACAAAAGTAAATTCAGACAATTTTAGACCATCAGTGTTTTTGTACATAAAAATTTAGGGGGATGATATTTTGGTCCTAAATTTAATCTATAGGATAATTTCTAATTAAACCATTTTACACAGTCTAGAGGTTTAATTATTAGTTTTTATATTTTTTGAATAAGCTGACTATTGTCAATAGGAAAGCAAAATACATTATTAAAATTTAAATATTTAATTTTACATTAGTTTTTTATTAAATTTTGAAATACTCTTTAACTTTTGATACCAGCATCTATATTCATGGTTTCTGATTTGAAGTATAAACAAGGTTTGAATTAGATCAAAAAAAATCTTCTTTAGATAATTCAGATATGTAATTAGTAATGGAATTAGTAATCTCACATTTTTTAATTTAATTTTTTTTTTTTTTGTGTGGCAATTATATTATTTATAATAGAGTTACTTTAGTTAGAAAAGTATAAAAAACCTTTTGAAAAATGTATTTGAGCAAGTTGGACAGTTAGAAAAATAACTGAAGAGAAAAAGAGAAGTGCAGAGATTTATAAAGAGTTGGAGTTTTTGAAAGTATTGCCCAATGTTTTTGAGTATTGTCCAATTTTGTAAGTTTTTGAGTATTGCCCAATGTTTTTAAGGGTATCCAACATTTATATTTTATCCAAAAAAAAAACAAATTTTGAAACCATATCCTTAACTAGAATCTAAAAATATAAAATATTTTTACCATAAATAATTATTTCTTGTAAAGTAAAAAATTACAAAATCTAATTTAATATTAAAAGTAAAAATTTGTTAGATTTTATTAATACTATGAAATTTTAATTCCACGCATATTTAGAACCATGTGCATATAATCTGCTAATGGAAGCCATTGAAGAGTTTAAAAAAAGAACCTGTATAAAACTTGTTCCACGAACTAATGAATCAGATTATGTAATTTATACATCTGAAGAAGATACGTGAGTAGATTAATTAAGTTAAATAGTTTTTTTATTGTTAATTTTAACAAAAAATAGTTATAATTTGATAGAAGGAGAAGGAAAAACATAAATTGCTTTATTCATAGTACTGGTCTCTGGAATTGGGTAGCTTTCCAATATAAAATAATTATTTTACATTTTACATAATTTTTAAAGTTAAATAATAATATTAGAACAGCATTTTTGCTTACTTCTCTACTGGTACTGTATGTTATAAATATTTATAATTATAATAAAAGTGATATTATACTCTGTGATATGAGGTCTTCTTGGAGTGCTTAAAAACCAAAAGTTTTTACTAATTGTTACTTTTGTATTAAATATAATTGTTTCAAAATGTGTGTTGTTATATAAATCTTAAAAAAGCCTTCCCAGAAAAGGCGTGAAAAAGGCAGAAAAGGTTTTTTATCTTGTTTGTCCACGATTGTGTATTTTATTTTAGACATCTTGGTCACGAAAAAAAAAAGAAAGCAAAAATAACAAAATAACAAATTAAAATAAAATTAAATAGTAAAATATAAATAAATAATAATTTAAATAATTTGTGTACTGTTTTCATTTATGTTTCTTTAGAGTCGTTGTTATTTTGAGTAATAAAATTGGATTAAGCAAAACAAAACAAAAACAACAGTTTTAAGTCAACATTAAAAAGAATTTCCTGTATTTTCTTATTATTACTTTTTTTTATAATGAAAGCAAAAATATAAATATCTGTTTGTAAAATATATTTATATAATTTTAATGTAATTATTGCATTATTGTTCTTATATAAAAATGTATAATTTTTTTTATTAAATAACTATATTTAATTATCATAAATATACGAACATATAGCTTATTTGGATAAGCCATTTAGTTTGTACACATAATGTCCATGGTTTGGAATCTACCTTTTCCTAAATCATTGTCAGTCAGAAAAAAAGAAGAAAAAAAAAAGAAAGAAAAAAAAAAGAAAAAATTAGAAAAAAAAAAAAAAAAATGCTTTTGTTTTTTAATCTGTTTATTGGATTGTTTTTTTTTTATTTGTCATGTAATCTATAAAGACTTATTTAAATATATTACTATTACTTTTGTTGTTTTTCTACCTGCCCCCTCCTTTGACAAAACTAAATGCACTGAGCCAAATGTTAAAAAAGCAACAGGTATCCAAAATTTCAAAGCGTTAAAAGATTAGGGATAAAAAACGTACAAAAATAGAAAGATAATATCAAACATTTAAGGCTATGTGAAAAATTTGTAGACCACATGGCCTAATTGAGGCTTAAAAATTATGTATATATGTGTTTATGCCTTACTTAGATAATACACTGTATGGCTTAAATGGTATAAAAATTTAAAATGTGAAAATATGTGTATCATTCAAAAACATACAACAAAAAAATTTTTTATGCACAAAAAAAAAAAAGACTAATGGTTACAAACCAAAAATATGACCAACAGTATTTAAAAGAAAAACAATATAAAAAAAGGACAGTTGTGGGATTTGAACCATGGACATTCTGTGTATAGAAAAAAACACCTTATCCAAATAAGCTAAACATGTGTATAGTATATACGCAAATATATATAATTATATAATAAAAAAGTTATACATAAAAGTATACATGTTTATACTTTTACATAGACGCTTTCATTTATTTCAATAAATATACCTGTTACATTAAAATTATACAAATATGTTTTACAAGCAGATAGCGATTTATATTTTCATTTACGTCTTTAAAAAAACACACAATTAAAATATAGGAAAATCATTCTTTTTAATGTTGACTTAAAACTTTTTTTTTTTTGCTTTGCCTTATCCAATTTTATTTTTGAAAATAATAACCACTCCAAAGAAGCAAAAATAAAAACAGTACACAAATTATTTAAAAGTATAATTTTTTTTTCCTATTTAAATTTATTCTAATTTCCTATTTTATTACTTTTGCTTTATTTGTTTTGAATCTTGTTTTTCAATTGCCACGACCAAGTTGTCTAAAATAAAATTTGCTTTTTTTTTTATGCAATTATGCAACATTTTTACACGTGATTAATTGAAATGTAATGTAAATGTTCTTTATTCAAGGTGTTCATCTCATATTGGTAGACAAGGAGGTCCTCAAAAGATTTTTATTGGTGAAAGCTGTTGTGTTCTTGGCACTGTTGAACATGAAACTATGCACTCACTTGGATTTATTCATGAACACTCAAGGCCAGATAGAGATGATTTCATTAAAGTTGAGTTTGCTAACATAAAGGAAGGTATAAAAAAAAAAAAAGATGTTGTTTAATAAAAAATTTGATTTGTGATTTAAAAATTTTTATTATAATGTAAGAATAATTCTATGTCAAAACAACCAGGCCATGCAACCGTATATGTTCATGAATTTTTTTTTATTTTTACACCATAGTGCTTTATAAAGAAAAAAAAAAAAAAAAAGTTCAAAAATCAAAAAAATTGAACTCCAAAAATTTTAAAATCTAAATCTCAGCAGATATTACATTTTTTTTAATTTTGGCTAATATAATAGTGTTTTAATTAATTTCCATCATTTTGAAATTTATATTTTACTTTTTAAATTCAAATCTATAAAAAAGAGGAAACTAAAAAATAAGTTCCATAGTTAATCTTTAGGTGAGAAATTCAAAGAAATAAGTTAAAAGTTCATATTTCATTTAAAAATTACTCTAAAATCGACTTTAAATATACAAATAATGAGTATTTTCCTAAGGAAAAAGTTTGTGCGTGTTGTATTTTTTTTAAACTGAAAATTTGTAATTAGATTATTCAACCCACAAAATCCAAAGGGTTTCAGGTTGGCATAAGAGTGTTGTACTTAGCCGACATCAGGTCAACAAAATTTTGCTCTCGATATTTTACATTAAAAAATAAATTAAACAATTTTTAAAAAATAAAGTTTCTAACTTGGAAAAACAAATAGTTAAAAACTATATTTAAAAAAATAAATATAAAAATAGAATAAATAATAATATAAATAAAAACAATAAATAAATTATGAACTAATATTGGTTGAATATTATATAAAAAATTAAAACAAATATTATGTAAAAAAAAAAATAAAAAAAAAAAAATTACTTGTGTATGTATGTATATATATATATATATATATATATATATATATATATATATATATATATATATATATATATATATATATATATATATATATATATATATATATATATATATATATATATGTATATATATATATATATATATATATATGTATATATATATATATATATATATATATATATATATATATATATATATATATATATATATATATATGTAGGGGAGACTGGGACACGTTGGCCCGCTTTTTTTTCCTTAATGTATAACTTTTTAGCTTTTTGTTTTTTTAATTTATTTTTTTTTTGGAAAAAAGTTGACTAGTCCCTAGACTATCTGGAAAAAACATAAAAGTTCATAATAGGTTTTCAATACATTCAAAACTATTTTTGTCAGGTCATGTCGGGTGGGCTAAAGCATTGGGGCAGGTTGGCCCACATACAACTTATGGCAGACTTTGAGGTGAGAAAACGCTGATTGAGCAAAAACAACTTTACAATTTGATGAAAGAAACAACTTTATAACTTGATAAAACAAAATTGAAGCAACTTTAAAACAAAAAACTACAAAAAAGTATAACAATAACATTTTATTTAACAACAGTATAAACATTTATAATCTAAACTCTTTGCATCTTTTTCTACACAACTCACATGGGCCCAGCACTGACAGCTTGAACACTGTATCCACACAGCACCTGGAACGCTGTTTGAAAACATTTTAAAGCAACTAAGACACAAGACATCTTCCTTATTATCATCTTTGTTTTTCTTGTTGCGTTTTTTTTTACAGGTTGACTGGCAAAAATCTTGTTTGTTTTAGAGTTACTTGGACTGGCTTCTTTGATAGAAAATAGTTTTGTATATGGTATAAGTGGTATATGGTATAAGTGAAAAGCTTGGAGTACCACCTGATGTGCTGTCTAAATCGTGAAAATTTCCTTTCTTAGATGTTGATTCATTTTTTTATTTATAATCCACATATGAAACTTTGTTGCTAAGTGTTTGTTTAGCAATGCTAAAATCCACAGACGACATTTTAGTGCTAGGGTCTGGTCTATCTGTTAAATATGATGGCAAAAAATCACTGTCTGAAAAAATATATCTGTTAAATGGATAAATACTAATTGCTTAGAAACCACTAATTATGTTCCTTGGAGTTATAGCATTAGGAAGTGCTGTTTTTACTATACCAGGTATGTCATAGATAGTCATAGGTCGTTTGTTTACAGTAACCCATGCATCACATGTTGAGTTCACAAACTTTTTAAAAGGACCATAAACACTTCTATCTAATGGCTGTAATTTATGACTACAGTGTGCTGGAAAAGATAAAAATGTGATACTATTTTCTTTACAAAAATCAAGTACTGCTGCATCAAGATGAGAGCTGTGGTTGTCAATTAATCCCAGACAAGGGCAATCATTGGAACAAACGTGCATGGATAGAAAAATGTTTGATATATTTAAGAAAATTTGTCTCTGTCATCCATCCTGAAGAATGTGCTGATCCATCACATCCTATTGGTCCATCACAAATAAAGTGGGATTTAAAATTAATTCTGGGAAAGATAAAATATGGAGGTATGCTATTACCAATTGCACTAACTGCCAAAGCCATAGTCACTAATGCTCCTCTATCTGCTGATCTTACTCTACCTATCTGGCAAAAGCCTCTACGTGCAACAACACGATCAGGCTGCTGCACTGTTGTGATTTTGGTCTCATCAATGTTCCAAATGTCTGAAGCACTTCATTTTAACTTAGTCAAAACATTGCTTAAGTTGTCAAAAAATAAATTTACATTATGTTTATTAAAACTTGTGCACAGAGCTAAACTTGTTGCTTGAGGAAAGCAAATAGAAAGCTTTAGATGTCTTTTCAAGAATCTGGAGAACCAATCCAGCAGATTGAAGTTCTATCCATGAGTGAGGAATTTTTCTGCTGCAAGCAACAGCATATGTATAGGCAAACCGTCGAACTTCTTTACCAAAGTAAATATCACTTGTTTTCATTAAATATACTTCAAGCAAAACTTCCTGCTCAGGTTCAAATACCTAAAGAAATGTAAAATATATATTACCATTACATTAAAATCATATTAGGTATATGTTCCAGTTTCTTAAAAAATTCAAAATTTTAATTATATCAAAGCAGTGTTTTATATTGAAGTATCATATTAAATGTTTAAATAAGTTACAGTACTAAATTATATTCAAATTAGTTAGAGAAAATAGAAATACCTGAAATATTTTGGCATAACCAAACTTGTGCCAGGGTTTTTCATCTAATTTAGGTGATAGTAAATCTCTCCCTATAGGTGCGTTATCAGGCGTATGTACTGTTTCAGTAACATCAAACTTATATGTGTTATCATTGTTAGAATTTGAAAGAACTACTTGGCAATCAAGTTCTTCTTCAGTTTGAACCGAAGTAGTAGATTAGATACATTACTTTTTTACAATGTTTTATATTTAACTATTTCTTTTTTATTTAATTATTTATATACCTAGGTATTTTTACTACTTTTTCAATATATAAGTATGCAGATACCTGCATACTTATATATTTAATAAGTTACATTTGATATTTTTCTTTTTTAAAATACTAAATGCTTATTTACTTTTAATTACTAATAATTTACATAACTCATGTCATTTAAATGTATATATAAATTTAAGTGTTATGCATGAAAAGTTAAGTGTATTATGGTATTATGTATAAAGTATTAAATTTATATATCTAAGTATAACTAGTATGTAAAAGTTTAAATATCAATTAAATTTAAATATATAAGTTATATTATAAGTTATTTAATAAATTATATATATATATATATATATATATATATATATATATATATATATATATATATATATATATATATATATATATATATATATATATATATATATATGTATATAATAATAATATATAAATATATACAATAGTTAAGTTTAGACATATATATAAAATTAAGTTAAAGTTACATTTTATATTATTATTTATCCAAATTTAAATATTATGTATATATGAGTGATATTTTCTTATTATCGACATATAAAACCCCCAAAAAGATATAAAAACAAATGCCAATTTGTTTATGAGGCTTATTTCTGATCTATTATGTTTTACAAAATTTTTTTATAATAAAAACAGTTTTTCTGTAACAAATTTACCGGAATTATTTTAAAAATCTATGGGGCAAGTCGGCCACATGTGCCAACGTGTCCCAGTTGCATCGGGCCAATCTGCCCCATTGTCGTTTGAGTATAAACAACTTTCTCCTTAAACCATCAATTAGTTTTGTGGAACATTATATACTAAAATAATCCTTACACTATAAGCTTTAAATATAGCACTTGAATAATGCTGTACTGTCAAACGTCAGCTTGTTAAAGTTTTTAAATAAACTAGTCTTTAAATAAACTTGAATGGGCCAACCTACCCTGTGGGCCAACATGCTCCGGTCTCCCCTATATATATAAATTTATATATGTGTGTGTGTGTGTGTGTGTGTATGTATTCATTAGTATATATATGTCTATATGTACGTGTATATGTATGTATTTTTGTATTTATGTATAGATATGTATATGTATGTGTATATATGTAAACATTTAACTAACCTGTTTTGCTGTTTTCATAACCAACCTGTTTGTACATTTTACAAAGTTGAAAAATATAAGTTAAACAAAAAATATAAGATAAACAAAAAATATAAGTTAAACAAAAAATATAGGACAAACAAAAAGAGTTTTTATGATACACAAAAAGTGTTTAATTAGTTGATGAATTAAAAATTATAATAATAGTAATGATCTAAAATTGGCTGAAAGAAATATTGCATAAATTTTGAATTGAATGTTTAGTTCAGTTTAAACAGACACTTTTAAAGATTTGAAAATGTAAATATGAATATGAAAATCTGACAAAGATTCCATAACTATTATTTGAAAAGTTTAAAAGGAAAAAGAAAAAAAAGAAAAAATATTTTTTAAAAACTACAGACTCATTGGAATGAACTTTTTATGATTTACTAAGAAAAACTCAATCATTAGATTATTTCAAGCACCCCAACCACCATAAACACCCCAATGTTAAGAAAGTTTAGCTTTAAATCTTAGCGGTTCTAACAAGACCTAACAGTCTACTTTTAACTTTCGCGTTCTATAGTTTTTATTTTTGTTGATATACTCATTTTTATTTTTTACATATTGTATAAATGTAAACAATAAATGTAAAATAAAGAACCAAAAATAAACAACAACAAAATTTTTTTTTACAAATATTTAATTTTGGCAACACTTTAAGAGATTCAACTCGGCAGTTTTATGCTTTAGTAAATCAAAGAAAGATCATTTTTACGCCAACATTTCTGAATGTCAACCAGGATTTTGCAGCCTGATTAGTATATGTTTGATCAACCTCATGAAAAAAAATGTTTCTGCAAAATATATGGTTGTGTAAATTTTAGTGTTAATACGACAAATAAACTGTCGACTGACATATTCAGACATATATTAAACTTTGGAATCAGAAAAGACAGGCTAGTAAGCATAAACAAATACATACATTTATGCATTGGTTGCATTAAAAAAATAGTTAAAGATATTTTAATTGTACGCATATATTTGTTTTATGTAAAAATAGGTAATATCTAAAACATGCATTTTTATTTTTAGGTAGGTTTATCCAGGAATTCGGAGTCCCAAAAGGACTCCGTATCCAGAAGCTCTAAAAATATAAAAACGTTTATGAACTTATAAAAGGAAAAAAAGTTAATATATTTAGGTAAGAGGAACAATAATTTTTTGAACGCAGAGTTTTTAGGTATAATGGCGGCAAGGACTCAGGGTATAAAAACAATAAGTTATTAAGTCTCATGAATTTTTTTCTTATGGCAGATCATAAATCAACAAACATGTTTAGAGCTTCTGGACATTACAGACCTGAAAAAAATAGAGATATAAACTCAGGGATCCAGAGTCCCAAAAGGACTCTGGATCCCTGAGTTTATCATGTCTTTTGGGACTCCTGATCTCTGAGTTTATCATGTCTTTAATGTTGGTAAGACACTTAGAGTTATTAGGTGTTTTATATAGAAGTTTTGTAATAGCTGTATGTCAAGAGCAAATATGCCAGCAGTATTTCACAATCAAAATAAGCAGACAAAGTATAAACAAAAGAAGATAAGCCATTTTCTCAGTTTATCACTGGAAAAGGAAGATTTCTTCTATTAATTAGGAGAATCACCTAATAGTTTGCTTAGTGTTGCTTCACATCAATGTTTTACTTCAGCCAAGAAAAAAAAATTTAAATCAATAAAATAGATTGGTAAAGATTTAGCAGACCAGAAATAATTCACATTTTATAGATGACAACACCCTGTCTTATTCTAAAAGAGAGGAAAATAAAGCAATTTTGATAAAAGAAATAAAAGTTATTGTTACCAAGATAAATGATTAGAAAAATAAGTTCTCACTTTAGCACCTGAATTTTGATACTTTCTAGGCATGCTTCTAGCTACTTCAAAGTTAGTGTGAATTCGAATAATTAACTGAAATGTGACAGTGGTATACTTCACTCCCATTAAACCCCTTTCTTTTGTGAAACCTCTCAGTCTGTGTCAGGTGCTCGCTTTGTCATTAATAAGAGAACCAAAATAATATCAGACAAAATTTATAAAATTTCAAAATAAAATTTTAACAAAATCATAAAATGTAACCTTGTTTAGCAATAACTTTTAATTTTTTCAAGTATATACATATATATATATATATATATATATATATATATATATATATATATATATATATATATATATTATATATATATATATATATATATATATATATATATATATATATATATATATATATATATATATATATATATATATATATATATATATATATATATATATATATAGAGAGAGAGAGAGAGAGATTTTTATAAAAATGTATATATAAAAAATAGAATAAATTGTATATAAGTTTAAGTATGCATGTTTTTTATTTATCATTACAAATAATATAAAAAACCAAATATGCTGTATTTAATTATGTTATATAAAATTTCCTTTAACTTTAACTTAAACATACCCTTTTTAGAATAAATTTTTTTTGTCATTCTGAGAAAATCTACTTTGATCAGCCATTTTAAATTCTTAATTTGAATTGTTATATCTCTAATCAAAATAGATTTTCTCAAAACATTTATTTTGGTACTTTTAGCACTAAGCCCGTCAAATGGTGAAAGTTGACCAAAACAATAATATTAACCAAAATTAAAACAATCACAACTCAGGAACTGCTTAAATAAAAACCTTAAAATTTTGGGATTTATAATTTTTTATAGATTATGGTGAAAATATTTAAATAAGTCCATGAACATAGGATTGCATTTAAATAAAAATTTTATTTAACTGCAATCAAACTGTCTTGACATGGAATTACACGTAATTCTTTTATATAATGAGTTATTTTTTTTAAGAGGACTTTGTCAACTTTGAAAAGTACAGTTTTGCGAATGTTAATGACGAAAATGTAGATTACAACTTTAATGTATGTAATTGTTTTTTTTTTTTTATTATTTTAAATGTAAAATTTGCATTTTTGTCCTGCTTTTAAAAATTACTTTTAAAATTGCTTTGAAATTTATACATATAGAGTGTTATGCATTACCGAGGTGACGCTTTTACAAAAAACGGAAAAAATACCATTGTACCCAGATATCCTGAACCCAGTGATAATTTCCAATTTGGTCAACGAGTGAAGTTTAGCGAAGGTGACATTACACAGATTGTTCGTTTTTATGATTGCCGCGTCACTAAAGAATCATACGCCGGTTTGTTTCACGATTATTCTGGTTACAAATTTGAAAAAGAAAAGAAGCGCCGGGACTCGGTTAATAGATCAAGAAATGAACTTTTGAGAAAGTTATACTCGTTCCAAAATTTATCAATCTAGATAATGTATTTAAAATTTGTTTAGCTGAAGAACAAATAACTAATTACGTTTACTAGCGAATTCTACATTTTTGTTGTTATAAGTAAGAAAATAATTTCTTTTAAACCTTGCCAACAGTCCAAAGTTATATTTATTTTGTTTTTAGTTTTTAAAAACAAATCTGTGTAAGTGTTAACACTTTTGTAAAGTTACTTTGAGTAAAGTTTTATGCTCAGCATTTACATTGTATATTCGCACTGTGTTTAACGCGTGTGGAACGCCCATCTTACTTCACGCTAACAATAAAAGTCGTTTTAACTTGGAAAATAAGCGCGTTTTATTTTTATAGTAAGCATTACTAAAAACACGTTGTGTTTAAAATAATGTGATCGGGATATAAGATTGGTTTTTAGTGTTCTTTATATGTCCTAGTTATACAATAAGGGTATATTGCTGAGAGCTATTGTTGTTGCTGCATTTGAAACATCTGCCAGTTTACGCCTTTTTGAAAAAACTAGTGATTCTACTAGTTATATAAAGTGAATAAAAGAACAAAATCAATTAAGTAAAAATAAAGTGTAAAAAAGAACAAAATCAATTAAATAAAAATAAAGTGTAAAAAAGAACAAAATCAATTAAGTAAATATAAAGTGTGGAGATGAACAAAAATGTTAAATGTTTCAAAATATCAAGTATAAAATAGAATGATAGAAGCTCAACAGAAAGTCAAAAAGTCCACAAAATCTTTAACATGTGTTTTCTTTGTTCTTTTGATATCAAGTTGATATTATCAATCAACGTTTATCATGTATACTAAATATAGCTCTATATATCGCGGCGTTAGAATTATCTTGCTTTATCATTAATTTTAGAAGAAAAAAAGAATTAGTGATAGTGTTTTGTAACTCAGAGCGATGCTTTTTTACTAGTGATGTAAATTTACAGGTAAAGTTTGATTTAAAATTTTCCCCGGAAAATTTTTCTGTAAATTTACCGGTAAATTTAAAATCTGAAAGGGTAAATTTTAGTTTAAAAAAAATTTAAGAAAACTATAAGAAAGCATTTGGGGGATTTGCTCTTATTGAGTTATTTCCACAAATTACACTTAGCACTTAGGCGTTGTCCAAATCAACTTAGGGGATGAAAACGGGGTATAGAACCTAGTATTTAACCAATTAGCCATTTTTGACTTAACGATTACGTCCTTTCAAAACGTGTCTCTCAATTTTCCAATAAAACAAGAAAATGTAAACAAAACATTTATTTTTAATTGTCTTAAATGAAAATAGAAAATAGAAAAAGATACTAGCGACATTAGATACAAAAAGATACTAGCGGCATTAAAGATTGTATTAATTTCCAAGAGAAAAACATCAAGGAAATGCTGTCTCAACTAAAATTAAAGATCAATGAAGAAATAAATACTTTGAAAAAAATATATATAGATCTAGAAAATAGATCTCGCCGCAATAATTTAAGAGTTGATGGTATTGCAGAACTATCGTCTGAAACGTGGGATGACTGTGCAAGAGCAGTTAAAAAGATCTTTAAAAACCAGCTTGGAATTGCCGATGATATAGTGGTTGAGCGAGCCCATCGAATAGGAAGAGTTAAAGACAAGCTACCAAGAACTATAGTCCCTAAACTCCTAAATTATAATGATAAATGCAAAATTTTAACATCTGTGAAAAAACTTAAGGGCATTGGAATTTTTATCAATGAAGATTATGCAAAAGAAACCTTAGAACATCGTAAAAAATTGTGGGAAGAAGTTAAAAGACATCGTAAAGAAGGTAAGTATGCAGTAATCAAATTTGATAAAAATTTTTTTAAAGATATGCACAATTAAAATGATGTAGTCGCGGAAATGAAAGGAGATTCTAACTCACACTGGAATGGCTGAAATTAGCAATTTTAAGCATCAAGCTTTTAATTTTTCAAAAATGAAAACTTTAGTAGATATAAATGTAGAAAAAGACCCTAATTATTCTCCTGATTTAAATAATGATTGCTTTTACTATTATCCTAGTGAAATAGAAGGATCTCTTTTTAATTTTAATAACAGCGAACAAATTAAAATCCTTCACGTAAATATTAGAAGCATAAGTCACAACTTTGAAAAGCTCCTTTACTTATTAGAAGAAACTAAAAAAGTTTTTATATTATTTGTTTAACTGAAACTTGGATAAACGCAAACGATTTAAGTAATATCGCAAACTTTTATCTTCCCCGTTTTGAATTATATCCCAAGAGAGACATACAAATAAACGCGGTGGCGGAGTTCTTTTTTACGTGAAAGAAACCATTGCGCATTACGTTAGGAATGATTTAAGTGTTTCTGACGGCGATAAAGAAATTTTAACTATTGAAATCTTAAACAATGAATCTAAAAATGTATTACTAAGCTGCTGTTATCGACCACCTGACGGTCTGAGTGAGAATCTGAGCACGTTTTTTGAGCAAAATGTTATCAAAATAGGCATTAAAGAAAAAAAAAAATTTTATTATTGGCGATCTAATCATGAATTTTTTAAACTACGAAAATGACTGTAAAATAAAAAAATTTTATGATTTAATATTTGAAATATGAGCAATTCCTTTAATTAATCGTCCATCTAGAGTATCAGCAAACTCAGCAACTCTCATTGATAACATTATTACAACTGATGTCTTCAATAACAATATACAAAAAGCAAAAAGGTATATTGAAAAGCAGATATAACTGATCATTTTCCAATATTTCTATCTTTCAACTCAAATTCTAAAATTAAAACCAAAACTAATAATAAAATAAGTAAACGCATATATAATATAAACAATATTGAACAGTTTAAAAAACAATTATCACTGCTTCATTGGAAGCATATAAATTTTAATGACGACGCAAATAAAATTTATGAAAATTTTTTTAAAACATTTTATTGTCTATGATGCCAACTTTCCCATCTGTAAAAAAACAATAAATCAAAAAAGCTTAAATGTTCCTTGGATAACTAAGGGTTTTAAAAAATCATCTAAGATCAAACAAAAGCTATATATAAACTACTTAAAAACAAAAACATCTTTAAACGAAAAATTATACAAAGATTACAAACATTTATTTGAAAAAATTCGTAAAAATTTAAAAAAGAATTACTACTCGAAATTAATTGAAAATGTTAAGAACGACTCTAAAAGTACTTGGAAAATATTAAGAGAAATTGGTGGAAAACAAAAAACTTGCTCAGGTTCCCTACCGCAGGTGATTAGAGTGGATAACAAAGATATTTTTGAACCTAGATTAATAGCTCATGAGTTTAACAAATTCTTTATTGATATCGGTTCGAAAGTAGCAAATAAAATTCCTATACCCAAGTTGTGTTCAATAACTTTTTAACACCGACGGATGATTGCATTTGCTCAAATAATTTATCTTCTGAGCTATCATTTGAGGAGTTTCAAGTGTCGTTTAAATCTATTAAAAAAAACAAAGCCCCTGGAGCTGATGAAATAAATGAAAACATAGTCTTAGAATGCTTTGAACAATTAAAAGATATTCTCTTTAAAGTTTTGAGAGCGTCAATACAACAATGAGTTTTTCCTGATAAGTTTAAAGTAGCTAAGATAATCCCAATATACAAAGAAGGAGACAGAACTAATATATGTAACTACCGACCTATTTCTATTTTATCAACATTTTCAAAAATGTTAGAAAAAATTATTTACAATAGATTATATACTTATTTTAAGGAGGAGAATTTTTTTTATAAAAATCAGTTTGGCTTTAAAAAAAATAGTTCTACTGAGCATGCAATCATTCAATTCGTCCGTGAAATCTCCAACTCTTTCAAAAATTCCCAATTCACTTTAGGTATTTTTTTAGATTTATCAAAAGCATTTGATACAGTAAATCATGGCATTTTGATTCATAAACTTAAATATTATGGAGTGGATGGTATAATTTTGAAGTGGTTTAAAAGTTATTTAACAAACCGAAAACAATTCGTTTCTTTTAACGATCCTTATCAAAAAAATGTTTTAGATATTTCATGTGGTGTTCCGCAAGGATCAATTTTAGGGCCTCTTCTTTTTTTAATATACATTAATGACTTGCATAAAGCTTCTAATCTTTTAAGTATTATGTTTGCGGATGATACTAATTTATTTTTATCTGATAACAATATTAATAAACTCTTCACTACTATGAATGAAGACCTCAAAATAATTTCTAGCTGGTTCAAGTGCAATAAACTTACCCTAAATATTAAAAAAACAAAATAGATTCTTTTTCATTCGATAACTAAAAAACGTTATTAACCCCCAACTCTACCTGATATTTTTTATTGACCATATTGAAATAAAAAGAGATTGCACCACAAAATATTTAGGCGTATTCCTTGATGAGAACATCACATGGAAGCAACATATTGATTATGTTGGTACTAAAGTTTCCAAAAATATTGGAATTCTTTGTAAGGCCAGAATCTATATAAATAAAAAAGTTTTAAAAAGCATTAATTAAAAATTTATAGGCGATCAGTGCTAGTTAATTGTGGGGCTTTTATTATAAACCGGGGCTCCGCAGTTTTAGGGCCCCAATTCAAAATATTTAAAAAAAAGAAATTCTAAAAATTATATCTTTGATTAATAATATGGAAAGAAGATCCCTGATTTAAAACCAGGCCCCAAAAATCTTAATCCACCACTGACCCCGACGAAACATTAGGTAATAAGACCCTGTGGTATTGACTGGGGATCAAAAAGTAAGCAACTATCCTAAGTAATAGAGTTTAACCATATTCCAAGTTTGTTTTTTTTTAATTAATTTTTCTTTTTTAAATTAACACACTTTTTACAATTTACACTCAATGACACCCGTGTGGTGTATTGGCTGCTCCAGTCTAGCTACAGCCCATTTTATCCCAAAATTATTTTTATTAGAGGCTATTTTATCTCTCTCTAAAACCAGAGATCTTTTTTTCAGGTTTCAAATTTTGAAAAGGTTTTAGTTTTAGATGGTTACTATGCAATTTATACGGTAGAATCATTAAAACTTTGTCATTAAAACTTTTTTCATAACATGCGCATAAAATA